GTATTTGTTCATATAAGATTTCATTTGGCATCATAAGTAGAGCTGTATGATAACCATGTTACAAGAGCAAGTAAACAAATTTTTCATAAGACAGAAGGTTGAATACTGCATGAAACAGCTGTGTAGCTATTGCATGACGTTAAAATGTACAAAGTGGGAAAAGTGTCTGTGTCTAAATAGTTAATAACTGACTTGTATCATATCAAACTGAAAATTTTTTAATCTTGTCAGTAAAGAAACATTTTTATAGGACAATAAATGTGATTTTAGTGCACGTGCACAGGTGACATCAGGTCATAAGAAAAAGATGAAACAGTCTGCTGCCTCATGTGTCAATCAGTCAAAGCAACTAAACAGCACTGTAACGGCAGCTGTGGCTGGAAGAAATGTGTGGCTTATAGCCTATATCTATCTAACTGTGGCCGTGCCCAGGCCTGAGTATATCAGCTTGTAAACTGCTTCTTGATATTGCTTGTAATTATTAGGTTCCTAATTTCTCTTGAATGAGTGCATTTAATCATTAATATCCCAAAAACTGTGAAGGCTATAGACATGAAATTTGACAGATAGGTGGCCCATAATGCAATGCTTCACATAGTTTTAGATTATTGTGATGGCCACACTCTGTGGCAAGATATGTATGTTTAATATTGATACTTTTATACCTACATTTTTTCTTACACGTTCATGTCCTTTGCTTTAACAACAATAACATCCTTTTTTACACATCTGTTGCACACTGCAGCAGACTGCGGCAATCACACTAATTTTCTTCAGAAGATGCAGAAGTTAGTTTTACTAGTTTTTCTTCTTCACTGGATCTTTCTGTAATAAAATCCTGTAGATCTGAGCTGATCACACAGACTTTGATGACTTTCATTAGCTTATTAGAATTTCTGATGAAGCAAAAGTAGAAAACAAAGCTATATAACATTGTACCTCTAAATAAAGTCAGAATAGATTCCTGTTGTCCTCTGCCTATGGCTTATTCTATAAAACTAGACTCACTGGGAGCTGTACTAGGAGTTGTGGTATTGAACCCACTCTACTGCTCTGCTCCTCCTGTCTGTTGTCTACAGTTACTGCTGATAGATCATGGGTGTATTATTACAGGATTAGAAGTCTTATAATACATCCATGTGCTAGATGCACAACTATTTGAAGCATCTGGATTTTTCTGGATTTTAACTGAACAGAACACAGTTTGCTGGGGAGGCAGACATGAGGGAGATGACGGCCACAAAGCCTACTCCACCGGGCGGTTCTCTCTTGCTCTCCCTTTGTTTAAGTCAACAGACCTTCAGTGTCTTTAATATTCAAGATTATTATTTATATTTTACATGATCTACATTATCTTATATTATTCACTTGTTGTTCATAGTTGTTTTGGATAAAAGTGTCTGTCAAATAGAGTAAATGAAAATGTAAATATTATTGTGTTCTCTAGATGCTCTGGATTCTTTTGTTGGTGACTCAGGTATACAGTCTTTCTTTGGAAGTCTGCAGGATGGTTCAGTAACTCAGGTATTGTCCATGACTATCAGGCTTTCACATGGCCAACTGGTTCTATTTAGAATCATGTCACCTGTGGGTGTGTGTAGTAGGTTGTTCACACATGCACCTGACTGTTACTAAAGGTCTGGTTTATGGTTAAAACTGTTATCTCTGTTTTGTTGACACATTTTAGTTATTAGAATAATTGTAAAATGTCATGTTCATATGAAATTGTGGTTGTGCTAATAAAGAAAAATGGACAAAGAGAGTAAAAACACCAACATAAAACCTATTCATTTAAATAAAAACCAGGTACAAACACTCAGTTAGCCTGTTTGTCATAAACATCACCATCTAGATGTTGGATTTTAGTTTTCACATAGCTGAACAGCAGCTGTTGGACAGAGTTAAAGTAACACAAAGACACCACCAGATGGTGCTGTTCTGCACATATTTGACACCAAATGTGGGGTACTCTCCCTGATTCACCTTCTGAGGAGCATTTTCTTGGACACTCATACACACAATTATAATTGCTTTATGACAGACAGTGAGCTGAAGCATTAAAGGCTAACATATATATTTATGTTAAGGAAAAGGCCCCACATAAGTTTTTTTGTTAGGGTTAGGGTCAGCTGCAACATCTGAATTCTTCCTTTCAAATAAATATGAGAGAGAGAAGGTCACAGTCTAGCTGATTGCTAAACTACTACTGGTGTTTCTGTACCCTGAGTTATTTGTACTAACTACTTAACTTAGTTGGAACACTGCTTTTTCACTTTTTGAGCTGACCTGCTCAAACAGATGATATTTTCTACTATTTGTCACTGAGCACTGTCAATACAACTGCTGCATCTGGATAAGGGTTTATTAATATACATATATATAAATATATATATATTAGTTTACTAATATATTGTAGTTGATGTGATATGTCACTATGAATGTACTGCAGTAATCCTTGGAAAATAAATTGGACCAATGTTCGCTCTAAAAAGAAGAGGTTGCCAGGTTGGCTATAACTCATGTTTTTCACGTTGGCTATTAATGTACCATTCTGTCTCTTTAGGTCTTTAGGCATGGCATATGCTAATATGTGAGGTAACCTGTTAGCCAAACATTGATCATCAGAGACAAAAACTTCATTCATTCCCACAGAGAAATGCTTTGTAACAGAAGAACACGAGAAACAGTTTACAACACAAGAAACAGTCTACAACACAAGAAACAGTCTACAACACAAGAAACAGAGTATCTCTCAGCCAGCAGCAGCCCTAAGCAGCTGTGGACAGGAGGAGGAGGCGTGCCCTGTCTTAGCAGCCGGAAACGAGCCCCCAAAGCGTCTGGGCAAGAGGAAACACAGGCGCAAGAAAACCAAGAAGGGGCGCAACTGGAAGCCTTATCACAAACTGTCTCTCTCTGGAGGAGAGAGAGCTGGCCAGGGTTATTCATGTAAGAGAGCTGCTGTTCGCCAAAGGGCACCCAATGGCCCCCTATAACACCACACAGTACCAGATTGATGCCAATTACCATAGGGAGCCTGACCTCAGCACCTAGATCAAGTGACCTTCAGGGGTAGATGGCTGCATAGAGGACTACAGAGGTGGCGATGGTATCAGGAGACCCAGGAATGCAAGTGGGGAGTTTCTCCAGAGAGAATTTTCCCGAGACCGAGAGATGTACTAGGTCCAGAGCCTGCAGAATATATCCAGGCTGGAGGATGAGAACAACCAGCTGAAGAGACTGAGGGCCCCAAACAGCCCCTTCTGAACCAGCCAAGCAATTACCACCCCAAGTCATTGCCAACTTGAGGACACTATACCCCTCTGAAAGAAAACACAGGACCACTACATTTAAAAAATAGCCTATTAAAAAAAAAGTTCAAATGTTTCAGAAATAAGATTCTTTTTTATGAAAAACAGTTTCAATAATTTCAGTGTGAATTTGTGTATCTGTAGGCCTACTGGGATTCAGTGTGTGTGTGTGTCACATATAATGATTAGGCCTACTGTATATAATGATATAACAGTCAGAGGCATCAAACCAGTATTATTATAATACTTAAACACCATTTTGCTGCTGATACTCATGTAGCTCACATGTGTTGTCAGCCATTTTGACTCATACAAGCCTCAATATGCAAGTGCACTTAAACCGTTTGGTGCTAACTGGTTCAGGTTGTTCAGTGTTAAGTCCTTTGGTTTTTGAATAATAACTCTAAATTTGTGAAGAATTCATCAGTGTCATTTTGGAGGAAGAACAAGCTCATCAAGAGCTTTTATTTGATGTCCATGTCAACCCAAATGTCACTTATGCCTCTAGTTCTCACACCTCAGTTTGAGCCAATAAGGTACATTTAAAAAGGTAATTAGCTGTACATAGTTACCTTGAGTTTCAATAATTAACCCTAGCAGGTATATTAGTGTAGATAGTACCTTGAGGGGCAGAAATAGACTCCTACTGTTCCTCTATTTCTGACCGAACCCAAATGTTGGTTGCTTGTGATGGCTCAGGTAAAATTTGGATACAGACACCATTGCTTTGAGTGTTGGGAAGGTATTTATTGGGAAAATATTTGAATGGGGTTCAAGGGTGGTGAAGGGCAAGTGTAAAGGTAGGTTGACTGTGTGGGGGGGAGTTGAGACAGAGACTGAGGTGTAGTCTGGCAGATAAGGAGGCAGCGTGGGCACAATGTGGGCCCTTAGATGGAGAAACATACAGGCCCAGCTGGGCAGACAAGCAGTGGGCCCTTGTGGGGTAACTGTGGGCAAACCCAAATGTGGGTTGCCCACATATTATTTTTCATTGTAGTAATCTTTTTAATATATAATAATATTTGTTCGAAAAAGGTTCAGATGCTGCATCATAGACCCCTGATATATAACAAAATAAAATATTTCCCCTTTAAATTATTACACAGATTGTGTCTTACAAGTCAGTGCCTGACAAATTCGTAAAAAAAAATAAACCCTTGTTTATTTTTGTCAAAACTCAAACTGATAATAAGTTTATTTTGATACGGCACCTTTTATGGAAATCTCTTATTATGTCCAAAGTTTATAATCATATTTTTTCTGTAAATGGGAATATGTATTGCTTGGTAATTTCACATCCATAAGGGGGTATGTTTTAAAATAAGAAACCCTTCTTTCCTGCTTTGATTATTGAGATATAAACCAACATTCACTATTTCCAGAAGTACAAATAGAGAGCAGCTTGTTTAAATTTTCGTTTAATTTGCTCCTTGAATTTACACCTTGAATCCCCATTTTATAACTATCGTTATAAAACTGTATCTGTTTGCTTATTCGGATAAATTACTCATTAAGTTCTTGCTTGTTCATATATACAATATTCTTTTACTGTTACATTATATTTGCAATAATTTTTCAATAAAGTTTAAGAAGAAGAAAAAATTACTGCTCACTGGTCACTGTCGCGCGCCTTTTTCCCACAGCGTCACATGACCCAACCAGGAAGTGGAGTTGCCCATAACAACTCTGAGCAGTCGCTTGTCGGTACATGTCTGTGTTCGACCAAGTTCTGTTTATTCAAGTCCCGTCGGTCTGAAAACATGACGGACATTTTGTTAAGAATAAAAAAGAACGTAGCAGAGAAAAAGAAGACGTGTGTTACTCAGTGCGACTTACAGAAGTGTGGTTTAAGAGGTATGGAGGCTTGTTAGCTTAGTAATGTAACAGTTGTCTTTATTCATGGAGTAGGATAAGTTTATCTAACAGGTGTTTTTGTCACATAAGCTTTGTTCAGTCAGTTTAATAATGTTCATGGTTCTCCTATTTGTGATGTTATTATTTCCATCAGATGATCCAGTGTTTTAATCTCAGTAGTGACAAATTGTACCGTTGTGTCATCACAGGGATCCAGCTGAGACCCTACCAGCTGGTCGGTGTGCAGTGGTTAACTCAGTGTCTGAAGAACCAGCAGGGATGCATCTTAGGAGATGAGATGGGTTTAGGTAAAACCTGTCAGGTGAGAGATTCTTGAGTCAGCTTTAAAAATATAATTGTGATGCATGGTTATTAGGACTAAATGAAATGCAAAAAAAACCCCAAAAACATGTGAAATATGAGTCACAATTTCAGATGGAATTTTTATATTTTCATTTTCACTGAAAAAATTGTACCAAACAAACATGTTTCATTATGTCTGGAGAATATGATTTGGTTAGTTCAGGGCGTCTCTATAGTACCTCAATGCCTCATTTATGGACTGTTGTGACACATTTGACCTTTATCAAAAGAATTGCAGCTTTTGCTATTTGGATATTGCACTTGGCCCTATTGTGATTTTGATGATATTTGGAATTAATGTTCAGCACATGTATAAAAAAAACAACAACACTGACTTATAGGCCTTTTCTCACAGGAGACAGTTTGACTTTTCATAGAAGGAAAAGCACAGGTGGTACTGATGACATGACCGATGGCTCTGTTCTGTTTAAATGCCCTGAGTCATGACAGTGTGACAGTGAGCCAGCACCAGGGAAGGGAGGGGGATTGTATTTTATATTCTCAGCATACCTCTATAGCAATTACTGTAAAACCAATCAAAATATATTTTCTATGCGTCAAATGTATTAATGTTAGTCAAGTTAGTCCAGAAAGGATTATTGCTACTGAAAGGAAGGGGAAAATCTCTTTTTGTATTTTGTGTTTTTAGATGTAAACTTTTTTCCCAGGAGACATTTTGACATTGTGTAGCAGGAAATGCTCAGTAATTTAACTAATTACAGTAATAATGAATGCATCTTATGCAGCGTGCATGACAGCTCACCTTAATGGACACTTAGTGGGACACGAGATAGAGTTGAGCTTTTGTTAATGAAATTAGTTGCACCTGTGCTTTTTGTGATCAGAAAATAACAGACTTTTGAAAAGAGCCTCTTTTCATTTAGAATTGGCTGAAACTATTACTGAGGTAAATTGAAGTTCACCTATGTGTGCTTATAATTACCAAATGAATCATTCACAAAAATATTTTGCACTACCAGCCATCATTATGCTGTATACCAGTAATGTATTCCTTAGCAAGTTTTACCAGTACAGATAAGCTGATGGCTATTTCATGCACCTGTAACTTGTTTCCATAGCAACATTGTACATTTGGATTGGATGGTTTCAACAAATGCATTTTAGTGTCTCAGGTTCCTTTAACCCCAGAGCAAGAAGATGTCAGGACTGCATATTCTTTGTCACTAATTCATAATGATATTTCCCCCTCAGACGATCTCTCTGCTGGTGTACATGTCAGGAGCTCTGGGGAAGAAAGGTCCGTTTTTAGTTCTGAGTCCACTCTCTGTCATGGAGAACTGGAGAAAGGAGTTGGAATGGTACTGTCACATTTATTATACTTTTATTTATTATATTTTTGTATTTGAATTGTTACTCTGCGTATAACACCATTCATCACAGGCTACAGTCAAGGCCATAAGTATTTGGACAGTTACACATTTTTATGTTCTTCAGATTTTGCATTTCAGCACATTAAATTTGATATAGAAGAAAGGAGACTGCATAATCTCAGTGTTAATTTGAGTGAGTTTACATCAGTATAGAAAGAACTGTGTTGGAGATGTAGTGCTTTTAACACAGTCAAAGTTTAGAGGTTCAAAATAATTGGATACATACACTTGAAGTCAAAGAAAATCATCAAAATGTTTAATATTTTGTGGAAAATTCTTTGCAGTCATTGACTGCCTGAAGTCTTCGACCCACAGACAACAGCAGACACTTTGTATCTTCCCTGCTGATGCTCTCCCAGAGCTTTGCTGCAGCCTCCTTCAGATCACTGCCTTAAGTCTGGTCTTCAGAAAGTGGAGTGCATCATCAACAGGCAAACATGTCTTCCTACGTCTTCAAGATCATTCTTGACTTGCTGTGCAGTCATAAAGGGCTTTTTCTTTACCAAGCAAATGTTTTTCTGGTTACCTTCAAGACTTGTGCTCCTCAGTCTATCACTTCCCATTTTCTAGTTTTCCAGTGTGCACCTGCTTTTTTAGCAAGTACCCAACTGTCGACTATGACAAACCTTTAATAACAACCTTTAATATCACTGATAGATTTTTGTTTCAGCCTCATTATCCTCTTCACTTGCATGGTCACCTCTTTACTCCAGACAGCTTTACCTCACAATCAAAATGGCAACTCTCAATCAGCTCTGAGCCTCGTGTGAGCTACTTTGAGCACAAACTAAGGCTAAGGCTACAACTCACAGCTGCCCAAGAAATATTTAGTAGCTCAGGGTCCAATTACTTTTGAACCATTGAAATTTGGGCACTATGTGTTAGGGTTATATTATATATATATATATATATGTGTTATATCTCACACACAGTTCTTTCTGTATTGATGTAAACCTAGTCAAGGCTGAGATTTGGCACTTTAGTGTAGAATCCATTATTTTATAACAAATTCAATGTGCTGAAGCTGAGAGCCTGAAGAACAAAGAATGCATAACTGTCCAAATACTTACAGTCTGGACTGTATGTAAAATTCTCATCTTGTGGTTATCATGGTTGCAGCTTTTCTCCGTCTCTGACTGTGCTGTGTTACAAGGGAGACAAAGAGAGGCGTGCTGAGATTCAGAGAGGAACAGACATACAGGACTTCCATGTTCTTCTCACCACATATGAGGTCTGTGGCTGTTTTGTGAAAACAAAATAACCTAAAGTTTTATCTCCATTAAAACTGACATGTTTTTTTTTGTTTTTTTTTTGTAAATCCTGTCATTTTCAGCTCTGTCTCAAAGACGCCTCATTTTTGCGACGGTGAGTGTGACACACATCATCAGAAACACCAGCCAATACAGTTACACACAGCAGCAGGGATTTGAAATGAGGTTTGGTTGTAAGAGACATTACCAGTGAAGACCATGTTCATAAATATTGAACCAAGCAAACCTATTAACAGTCTGTGGGCCCTAGTACTGTACTCTAGTGTGAGGAGTTGTGCCATAGGTGTGTAACTAACTTGGTATGAAATCATTTATTCATATGAAGCTTTAACGATGAATTTTCAGAGGTTAATTAAGCCAGTCAGTCAGTTATTAATGTCTACAGTTATTATTATTTGCACTAGTGATGTCATTCTCCCATGTTATTGTCATCCTCATTATAATATTACAGGTTTTGTTTTGCACCATTGTTGATTGTTTTTTCTTCGCACTGATGTTTCTTTATGTCATTGTTTTTTTTAATGTGTACACTTTGTTTTACACTGGTTGTGTGCTCTTTGTTGTGTATTTGTGTGTTGTTTTATGTCTGCTCTATGTGCCTTTTAAATTGCCCCCAGAGGACAAATAAAGTTCATTGAATTGAATTGAATTCAGCGTTTCCATGTACATGTATGTCCTCTCTCAGGTGGAAGTGGAAGGTGCTTGTAGTGGACGAGGCTCACCGTCTGAAGAATCAGAACTCACTATTACACAAGACCTTGACAGAGGTACTGAGCTGCACCTGGCTTTGCTCATCAAGTTTTTATCCCCTCATTTTCCCCACTGTTAGCACAGTTTTTTCCAGTTCATTGAGTTTGTATGTCTCTTTCTTGTGTAGTTTTCAGTGGGGTTCAGAGTTCTGCTGACGGGAACGCCCATCCAGAACCACCTGCAGGAGCTCTACTCCCTGCTGAGCTTCATTCAGCCCAGCATCTTCACCGCTGACGAGACGGACGACTTTGTTAACTCTTACTCAAATGTACAGAAGCAGCCTGCTCTTGGTATGATACATAATCATCATGTAACATAGTGTTGTTTACGTTGTTTGTTCATGTTATATTCAGGTAAAGAATTTGTCAAATAAGGAGTTGTAAAATATTAGTTACATACAAAGCAATATTTGTTATTTAAGTGATGTACTGATGTACTTGTGTAGAAGAACTGCTCCACAAATAGGTGCATAAAGAATGGTAATTGGTGCATAAATGGGTGCGTAAAGAATGGTAATTCTTCTGGTAACAGCTCATTGAATCTACACTGTGTCCTGTGTCCCTCTGCTGCTGTTTCCAGCTGCTGAGCTGCAGAGTGTCCTGGAGCCATTCCTTCTGCGGAGAGTCAAGTCAGAGGTGGCTGTAGATCTGCCCAAGAAGACGGAGCTGGTGGTCTATCACGGCATGTCGACTCTCCAGAAGACATACTACAAAGCCATTCTGACGAAGGATCTAGGTGAGACTTCTGCACTGTGGACCCGGCTGACTGACTGAGTTTGTGATGATCATTTAAAATCATAGAGTCACCTCTCTGCTTTCAGAGGCTTTTGGAAATGAACAAGGCATCAAGACACGGCTGCTGAACATCTTGATGAACCTGAGAAAGTGTGTCGACCATCCGTACCTGTTTGATGGTAAGATGTGTTGAAAGGACTGATGTTACTCATTGCACATGAGACATAGAAGAATATGTTGGTTTCCATTTACAATCAGACTATTCTTATAAAGGATTTATCAATTGTTTATTATGAGGTTATTAATTCGGTTGTTAACAATAAACAATTATAAACAAGTTATAACACAGTGGCATACAATAATGAAGACTCACTATTTGGCAAGATGAAGTTAATGCTTACTACTCAATCTTATTAATGAGTTACTACCATTTATAACTGGTAATAGGAGCCTTATTATAAGCCTTATTGTGTAGCCTTATCATTTATTAATGAGTAACTAGTATTTATTACTGGTAACTGATAAATAAATGGTTGTAAAATGAGATGAAGAAACATGAAGATGATGGAGGGAGAATCACAGAGATGTGAAGAGTGGGACAAAGAATTGATGAGCAGTTCACCAGGTAAAGGAGGGTTACCACCTGTGTTCTAGCTGGATGTTAAAGTCCTAAAGAAGAGAGCAACCAGCAAAAAGCATCTCCATGTTAATCTGCACTGAGCAGAACAATGTGATCAACAGCTGTGATTAGAATGAGGACGGCTGCTGATACATGTCAAGGTAAACAACACAGCCACGGCCTTAGACCATGAATCTGCTCATTTGATATGATCATCTTGTGAAGGAATTTTTTTATTTGCCCACTGTTAATGAGAGACTCAGGGTGAAAGGTCAGTGTGAGGCCCTAGGTCACAGTGCCACAGCTACTGCATTAAATCTTACAGGAGGAGACACTCAGGCGACAAATACTGATGATGGAGAAAACAAAGAAAGCCCAATAACTAATGAGAGAAGAGGCTGAACAGTACAGATACATGTTGATGTGATGGCTCACTATTTGGCAAGCAACAGGTTACTCTTTTTAATTTAATGTGTTATAACAGCTTATAAATTATTTATAAATTGTTAACTAAAAAGCTAATTAATAAACTAGTTATAAACCATTCATAAATCCTTTATAAGGACTTACAATATAAGTCTTATTGTGAAGTGGTGCCCATATGTTATACTTCAACTTTTTTGGACAGGGGTGGAACCGGAGCCGTTTGAGATGGGGGAGCATCTCATTGAAGCTAGTGGGAAACTTTGCCTTCTGGACAGCATGCTAGCCTACCTACACAAAGAGTGAGTGGATCTGCTTGTTGTTTGTCTCCCCCTGCTGGTACACTGTTGTAGTGGTTTGTTAACATTGACACCACATTAACTAGATGCTGACACAATGTACTGATCACTTGGAGCACTACATTGTATTCGCTGTCGTATATTAAGTCACATATTCCTCGTTGTTGTTATTATTTCTCTTTTCATGTTTGTGAGTGAAGGGGCCATCGGATCCTGCTGTTCTCTCAGATGACGAGGATGCTGGACATTCTTCAAGATTACATGGAGTACAGAGGTGAACAAGGGGGGTGGCGAGGACTAATTATTCAAACTCTCTTCTCATTAACTTTTAACTGTCTAATGTTGCAGTGATTTTCAATTTTGCAAAAATTTTGCATGTGTTTAATCTTAATAGTACAATGCTAATCCTAACCTTATTTACTTCCGAACCATATGAAATATCAACAAGGGATTTAACTTAACTAACATTTTAACTTATCTTCTTTTAACCTATCTACACTCTTCTTTAATGTACCTCCTAATGACATATTTTTTGATTTTTCTCCACAAATAAGTGCTAACTTGAGTACTTTTTCTGTTCAGGTTATAGCTACGAACGTCTGGATGGGTCTGTCCGAGGAGAAGAACGAAATCTAGCAGTGAAGAACTTCAGCAGCAAAGATATATTTGTCTTTCTCCTAAGCACTAAAGCAGGTGACTCAAACCCTAAAGTGTTGGCAGAAAGACAGATTGTGTCCTTGTTATGTGCAGGATGAAACTGAACATTATCAGTTTCAGTAATGTTCATATTCTGCTTGTTATTTGAACTTAGAGTCAATTGTCCTACACATCATAAACATCCTGATCCTTGCTTTTTAGTTGTGCAGCCTCATTAGTAATTATATATTTCATAGAAACTGAGTGAGTTTCTGTACTAAGTATGGTAAAGGTAATCATTTAAGATGCTGTAAGTCATGAATTGCATCTTCCAAACAACACTGGTAGATAACAGTAATTTTCAACAGTGAGTGAGCTGCACTTGCAAAGCTGTTGTGCATATCTAAATCTACAGCTGGGTTCGTAGAACTAGCTGAGAGAGGAAAGGGGACTGATCACACAGAGATAAGAGCTGTGGCAGGATGACACACCAGTGTAAATAAGGCCAGCACTTTCTCTTCTATCTCTTCTTCATGCACAATGTGAAAGCAGGTAGAAGGAAATCTTACTTCCTGTCACAGCTGATCACTTTTGCTGTATATTTTTGTAAGCTACGGTGGTGCTGAGAGCCCACACACTGCAAGTTAAGAACACACGTGCAAATAGACAAAACTTCAGAAAACATCTTCATCAGTTTGACACCAAATGAGTTGCAAATATTCACAACACGACACAAGTGTTTCCAGGCGACACTGAATAGTGATGAGGGGGCCCCCCATTACTCACCTGGTAGAGAGCGTACCTTGGAGGCATAGTCCTAACTGTAGCGGCAGGGGTTCGAGTCCGACCTGTGGCCCTTTGCTGCATATTATTCTCTTTCTCTCTGTCTCTCCCTTTCTCTCTCCCTCTCTCTCTCCCTGACTTCCCTGTCTCTCTCTCACTGTCGTTATCAGAATAAAGGCAAAAAGATAACTTGGAGGAAAACAAACCTGACTGGGAAGCACTTGCATGGATGTATTATAATGGATTATAATGTTGATAAATTAAAGTACATGAATTATAATACATCCATGTGCACTTGTTATTCAATGCTTTTAACTTTAAAAGTCACAAAGTATTGAACAACAAGTGCTGTGTTGTATTTGCAGCTCATGTGTTGTCAAATCAAACTGATGAAGCTTTTTTCTGAAGTTGTTTGTGTTTTGTCTGTTTGCATGTATTTTCTGAAGTTGCAGTGCGTTGAGCTCTCAGTGCCGCCGTAGTAAACGGTATAAGTGCATCATTCCACGAGTAGTATACATTGTATTAGACAAGTCTGTACTGTTCTTAACAACCTGTCTTTGCAGGGGGAGTGGGCCTGAACCTTACAGCTGCTGACACAGTCATTTTTATGGATAGTGACTTCAACCCTCAAAATGACCTGCAGGCTGCCGCACGCTGCCATCGGATTGGTCAGAACAGGTGATGTGTATGAAACATTATTCAGTGCAGTGTACATTGTACTAAGTAAGTTTAAGTATTTGTTAAAGGGGTACGCTGTGTTTTTACACATAACGGTCTCATCATGGATATACTACTCAGCCTCCTCAGCTTTCTTTTGCTCTGGAGGAGCTTTGTAAAGTTATCTGCAGTTAGGTTTGACAGAGTATTCCATGTGTGTGATTTACCATTGCTCACCTGTAGCATTTTCCCATTCACAATGGCCAATTTAAAAATAGTGTTAAAATTGATGCGGCAGATTCAGGCACATCACCATTTATTCCATGTATTCGTCTTCTTGTCTTCATTACCAACAATGCCACTTGACCGGCGACAGTTTGTCGGAGGTTCAGGTGTGTTATGCTAGCAGTGATTAAGATGGAGAGATGAGGACAGATGTCTAGTGAACTCAATTCTTTCTAAATCCCCCCCCCCTGTAATCAACATTTATCCCTCTGGACACGCAAAATGTTTTATGCAACTTTTTTTTCACATGTGGTCGTGACCGTAGACTGTAAATAAAGATGGCCGTAGTCTCTGTGATGTCACCCACAGGTTACTGAAGAGTGGTTTTTAAGCTCAGAGTGAGCTGCTGCACCATCACCATCTTGCCAGTGTCTTAGTCTGCCGAATTTATAGCTAATCCAAAAATAGGCAAAGTGGGGCGTGAGTGGAGCAGAGACTTTGGTGCATGCTGGTTTTTGGCAAGCATACACTCACCCACCTGTCACTCAAAGAGGCCACGGCCTCAATTATACATAACTTTATATTTTAATAAAATGTGAATAGTTGTCATGAAGGACGAAATTAGCTCTAGAGACCAAAACTGTTTTTGTACCAGCACCACCTCTGTGCTGGCGACAGTCAGAGTCAGAGCCAGAGGCATATTATTTTCGGGTTGTCTGTCCTTCCGTAAGTACGTCCCATTCTCATGGACGCCATATCTCAGTCACGCTTTGACAGAACTTCTCCAAATGTGGCACAAACATTCACTTGGACTAAAGAATGAACTGATTAGATTTTGATGGTCAAAGGTCAAAGGTAAAGGTCAGTGTGACCTCACAAAACACTTCTCAGCCATTACTCAAGACTTCACAGCAATTATGAGAACATTTCACACAAATGGTTCATATTTTCTATGACTCTAGATAAACAGGGATGTAACCTGAAACTAGTTTGAGTGGAAGAGGGATACAACCACGAGGAGGTGATTCTAGTTCAGCCCTGAGGTTTCCACTTGAGTAGGACACTCCAAGACCTGTAAACAGTTGATGTGTTATTAGTCAATATTTCTGTCTTAATGGGGAACTGAAAATTTGGGACTTTGCATCTGAAAGATGATTTAATAAGCAGTGAAGGTTTACGAAAGATGCTTTTGAGCTGCATTTTGTGAATCTCAGCCTCTGCTGCGTTGATATCAACCATTCTTTTTTTTTTTTAAATCCCTTTAACCTTTGATTGACTGTGACTTATTACAGGCCGGTGAAAGTGATTCGCCTTCTGGCAAGAGACACTGTGGAGGAAATCATGTACTCTCGCGCCGTGTCCAAGTTGCACCTCACCAACACTGTTATTGAAGAAGGTCGCTTCTCTTTACTGGACCAAGCTCAGTCAGCTGCTGCAGGACTGCAGGTTTGTGAACTCTGAACACTCAGTTCCTGCGTTCACTTTCATAAAAAACAGTTGTCTTTGTTTTCACCACTCATGTTTCCTGCCCCACACAGCTCAGTGAGATCTTGAAGTTTGGGGTAGATAAGCTCTTGTCATCAGAAGAGAGCTCCATACAGGATGTGAAACTAGAAAAGATCCTTGGTCTGTCACGTGATGGTCAGTGGGTGGATGATGAAGACTCACTCAGAGAAGAAGAAGAGGAGGAGGAGGAGGAGGAGAAGAACGGCTCTGGGTCTGACGGGCAGAGTATGTCTTACTTCCTAATGAACTCTTTAAAATCAAACCACCGTGGCTTTGTTTGTTTGTGTTTGTCTGTTCAGTTCTTTACCTTGTTTAAGGTGAATTTCATTTCATAATATCTTGGTGAGACCATCACTGGTGTGCTCTCTTGTCAAACAGGTTGCTCTGGCACATCTCAATTTTACTTCTGATTGTCTCCCTGCAAACACAACCACACATGAAAATACACATTTAATCAACTTGGTTCATATTCACTAATTCACAGTTTCATCATAACTTTCTCTGCTTATGATGAATAATTACATTGACCATCACTCTGTTCCGTCCATCAGACCACATGTATTACTTTGAGGGGAAAGACTACAGTAAGAACCCCAGCTCTGATGACCACAACAGCTTTGATCGTCTGTTGGAGGAGCAGCTGGCCGAGTTTCAGAAAGCCGCAGGAGACGGACGAGCTCTGCGACACAAAGCTGGAGTAAGTTTGTGTCTCCTTGACTTACAGCTGAGGGAAACATTGATTTTATTCACTTAAAAGAGACGAGATTCCATCCGCCTGAGTTTGATTCTGCTGAAGAAGGGAGAGTGAATTTTAACACACATGCACAATATATTTCAAGATTAAGATTAAGAAGATACTTTGTTTCCATGGGGAAGATTTTATTGTTTTTGACTCCAAACTGCAGTTGTGTAATAAATTAACAAATAAACAGCACAGAGTAGCACACACTATAAACTCAGAGCATAAAACAACAAAAATAAAAACAGCAGCAGCAGTATACATAAGACACATCAGTGATACTCCACATTTATCTGTTGCACATACACTCATGATCAATATCACCCTTCATTTCCTGGTGTTTAAGGTCCTGACACAGATACATGAGTATTTGAACAGGTTCTGTCTGCACTGGGGGCTCTATAGCCGGGTCTCATTTGCAGTGTTGTAGTGCCACAGGAGACATGCACCTGCTACACTCAATTGGCAGTTTATTAGGAACACCTAACAAAAATGAATACAGTCTAATTAAAACAGTCCTGCAATAAATCTGACCTTCATGAAGGTTTTTATTTTCAGATTTTTGTTGAAACTGTTTTAGAGAGGTGTTGATTCTTCTGTATGATGGATTGTATGTCACCTCATTGATATTAATCATAGAAACACCTGTCAGTGTCACTCACTACAACTCAACAACAGCACCACAAACTGCAGCCTGTATTCAGAGCAGTAAACGTCTGTTTGTCTTTAAAGGACCAGCTGATCTGAGCTTCATACTTCAGTGTGTATGAAACACTGGTCCTCAGCGTGCTGTGGTGTCTGAATGATCATCCTGCAGATTTTGTCACCAAATGTGTGGCACCAAACTAAACACTGGCTCTGGCACTTGGTCTGGTAAACAGCCTTCATGCGGGGTATGACAGTTGATGAAAAAACCACTGAATTAGGTTGTGTTCATACCTGTAGTTTTGTTCCCTTAGTACACATGACAAATGACAGGTGGCTGACTGACTTGTTACAATTTGTTATGTAATTTATTGTTGTGTACAAACATGTCCCCGGCTCAGTGATTGAACATTTATCAGACGTGAATATTCAGGCAAGAAAAAGTTAGACAACTTTTCGGGATTATCTCCATTTATGTCTAAATTTATCTTAAAATATGGTCTGATCTTCATCTAAGTGACAATTATGAACAAACACAATCTGTTTTAACTAATAACACACAAATCATTGTCTTGTTGTGTATCCATATTGAATACATCACTCTAACATTCAGAGTGCATGTTGGAAAAAGTATGTGAACTCCTCGACTAATGACATGAACAGAAGCTAACTGCAGTCAGGAGTTATCAGACCAGGAGTCCAGTCAGTGAAACCAGAATGAGCATTTTGAGTTTGTTATTCACAGAAACATCTGCTGATGTTGAACCAGGCCTCACAAATAAGATCTTAGAAGAGAAATTAGATGAGATGAAGAATGTTTTTTTTGCAGGAAGCTGGAAAGCAATCTCAAAGTTAAGATCTTCATCAGTCCATAGTCAGACAGACTGTCTATAAATGAGATAATTCAGTTCTTTGGCTACTCTCCCTTGAAGTGGACATCCAGCTAAGACGACTCCAACAGCTCAGCACAGATGATCAGCAACAAAGAAGCTCAGAGTTACAGCTGAAGGCCCAAAGGAATCATTGGAGCTGTTTCACATCTCTGTTTATGAGTCAACCACAGACACATCATGGGGTATGGAGTCCAGACATGGACACCACAGAGGAAGCTGCTGCTCTCCATAAAAACATCATCATGCCCCTGAAGTTTGTGAAAGAGCAGCTTGTCTCAGCACAACACTGCTGGGAAAATGTTTGATGCACTGATGAGACCAAGGTTGAACTGTGTGAAGAACATGCAGCTCTACAGTATGTGTGGTGTAAAAAGGGCTCTGCAAACCATCATCCCAAAAGTGAAACAGGGTGGAGGGAGCATCGGGATCTGGGTCTCTGCTGCCTCTGGACCTGGATAGCTCCACATCATCGATGGGAACATGAATTTTGTTTGGGTTCTGTGTCTTCCAGGATAATGTAAGGGTGTCTGTCCACCTGCTGAAGCTCAGGAGAAGCTGCAGGACAGTGACCCTAAACATCAAAGTAAATCTACTACAGAAATCCTCCTTCTGGATTGAGGGCAGAGCTGCTCACACCAGACACACACAACTTCCTCCTGAACATTGAGCGGCTCTGATCAGCAGCTAACAGCTGGTTTGAACTGAGTTATTATCAGTTATTAAATCATAGGTTTGCTTATTTTTTCCATCAGCACTGTGCATGTGTGATGGGTGTGTTCAGAAGAGTCACAAAAGATTATAGTTATTTGTATTGTGTATACAGGTTGTCCCAGTTAAAGATCTCTCTAGTGAGCCGCTGGTGCAAATAGTCACATCAGTGTTTGTTCAGGTGGCAGCAGGTTATGTTGCTCTGTAATGAGTGCCATTGATCTTCTCTGATAATCACTAACAGCTCACAAAGAAATTGGATTAAAAAAAAAAGTTGACAGACAGAGAAGTCATGTGGCAGACCCTGCTTTTGTGTGTGGTCTGAGGGCAGTTATGTTCATTAAACAGTTGAAGGGGTGTTTGTAGTGCAGTAGGAGTCAATGATCCCAGACTTATTCCATGATGCTGAGACCAGGACTTTGTGTGGGCTGGACCATCTGCTCCAGGACTCTGTGCTCTTCTTGTTGTTGAAGACAGTTCTTTAGGACGCAGTGTCCTGCTGCAGAATGAACCTGGGAATGTTGGGACTGCATGATGGATAAGGATCTGAACAGCACTGTACATGTGTGACTGTGCAGCTGTGACTGATGTATTTTCTGTGTTCATACTCAGGTTTCACTGTCAGCAGCTCTTGGTATTCCAACAAGGAAGAGGAAACCTCTTACTGAGGCCGAGCTGGAGCTGAGGCGACAGAGGAGGGAGGAGGCCGCAGCCAAGCGAGCCAAAATTCAGGAGGATGTGAAGAAGAAACAGCAGGAACAGAAATACAAGAAAAAGTTAAGATCTGTCAATCACACTCTGTGTCTTCACCCACTGAGCTTAAATATCTTTGACACAAACTATTTTCCTTTTATTTGGTGTGTTTGTTTATCATGCAGAATGGCATGGTGGGAGTCATGCAGCTACAGGTCACTGTGCCTGCAGTCTGTGGACAGTGAAGAAGAGGAAGAGGAGGACGAGGATGAGGGAAGCGTATGCTCCACAGACTCTGACAGCACAGCTATCCACTATGTTCTGGGGGATGTTACTCATCCACACGCTGCTCAGGGAGACACTGTCATCGTCCACTGTGTTGGTGAGGACTCTGAATTACAGCAACACGTCAGTTTGAATGAACAGGAAACACCTCTTCTATAGTATGTCCTGTATTTCTCAAAGTAGTGATATTTGTGTAGATGACTCAGGTCGGTGGGGCAGGGGAGGCCTGTTTACTGCTCTGGAGGTGAGATCAGATGAACCACGGAAGAAGTATGAGTTGGCTGGCAAGATGAAAGGTAAGATTTTCCATGATTAAGTAGAGAATGAAGACTTATACCATTAAATGTCTTTATCAGAGGCGTCTGGTTGAGAATGAAGTAGATAAATTACAAATTAAAGTGTGAACATTTTATTTGTTTTAGATTTGGACCTTGGAAATGTGCTGCTCTTCCCCATTGATGACAAACAGTCCAGACTAGACGGCCAGGATCGAGTAGGTCTTATTTAAATGAATAAAACCGCATAAAACTGGAAGTGCATGCTTGTGTCATCATGCATGCTGCTTCTTTGCAGTATCAGTGATCTGCAGGTTTGGGTTTATGTGTGGTGACAGAATTGTGAAGTTGTGGCAGATAAAATTGCAACAGTAATAAGATTATGCCATAACCTGATTCAGCCTCCTTCCTGTCACGTCAGTTGGCCCTGATAGTGGCACAGCAAAGAGACAAAGCCAACAACCTGTCTGGGATCCTTCTCACTGCTCTGGATGAAGGGCTGAAGAAGGTTTATGCTGCAGCCAAAAGACATAAGGGTACAGTGAAGCACGGAATCTTCATACAGCTTTTACAAATCTTTTCATGTTGTCTGTTAATGGTGAATCAAGTAAGTAATAATTAAGGCTCCTTCCATGAGGACAGAGAGAAAGGAGGGACATGATGTAAGCAGTGTTTGATTATTGTCAGACCTGACTGACAAGATAAATAGGAAGTGTGTGTGTGTGTGTGGGGGGGGGGGAAAGACATTCTTTGAAGCACAGCAACTGAAGAACACATGAGAGAGGAATTTGAGGAATTTTCCCTCAGGTCATTCTTCATAATAGACGAGAATCAGAAGAAAATGACCTGCTTCTGTCATAGTACACCTCACAGTGCTTTTATGTTGGTGACGAAAAACTGTCAGCTCACCTTCAGGTCACCTCGAGTGGAGCGTAGATGTGAAAAATGCAGCATGTTCAAGTTGACAGCCAAGCTAACCCTTCCCTCTTCGTCTGTTTCCCACAAAGCAAGTGTTCATCTTCCTCGCATCGGTCACTCCACCAAAGGCTTCAACTGGTATGGCACAGAGCGGCTCATCAGGAAGCACTTGGCCTCCAGAGGCATCCCCACATTCATGTATCTTTTAAAGCCTTCAGAGGTCAAGATGTGTCAGTCTAGTAATAAAGTTGTTCTGTGTACTGCAAGTGCTGCTGGAGTTCTGACCTGTTCAGACTTTTTTCTTTCTCCATGCATCTTGATTAAGTGAAGTTTACCTCTACTTTGCCTCTCGTAAAGTTTTCAGCAGATAAAATCTGTCTGTCTATTTCTCAGAGTGCATCTGTCTAAATGAAGTTTGGAGTCATTTTCCCTCAACATGACTGACAGATACTATCACAGCAGAGCTGCCAAGAATACAGCCACAGCACCGACTTCCATTTCAGCGTCAACATCCTCCCCTGAACCACAGTTGCATAACTCCGACAGGCTGACTGGTGAGACAGGAGCAGAGACGCCGGGCCCCTCGGCTCCTCTGCAGAGCTGCGGACCCACAGGGCTCCCCAGCTTCATGAAGGGAGTCCATGTGTTTTTCTACAACCTCCCTGCATCAGAGAGGAAGAGGCTGGCCCGCTACCTCATCACATATCCTTTCACACTGAGTGGTTTCATCACAGTTTGTTGTTAAAGTCAAATGGTTTTAAAAGCAACAATTCAGTGTGGTTCTGTGGAGAGAAGAGTGAACACAGAGTCAATAACTCCTTAGCTGCAGTGCACTTATGATGGAGATGAGGAGGATATGATGAGCCTGGAGGTCACCCACATAGTCGCAGAGGTGGAGAACAGCATCCACTCACAGGTTAGTATCATTATGAGTTTTACAGATGGTAATTTGACCTCTGACATACATTCACTGAGCACTTTACACTGGCTAGTTCCTCAGTTCTTTGTGTCACGGATCCTCCAGATGTTGAAACTTTCCTCTGACTCTCTGCTCCATGTTGATTTGATGCATCACATCATTTCTGCTGATTCATCAGCTGCACATTCAAGCTTTTGATGCCAAACTCTGACCCTACAAGTGCTGCCTCAGCTCAAACCCAAATTTATAGACCAGGTCATGTTTTTCCAGTCTTCATCTGTACAGTGTTGGTGAGTCTGTGTCACTGCAGCTTCCGGTTTCTGGTCTTGGGGACAGGAAGTGGAACCTGATGTTGCCTTCTACTGTTGTAGGTTGGACGTGTTGTTCACTCTGAAGCTTTTCTGCTCAGCACAGTTGTAAAGAGTGGTTATCTGAGTGACTGCAGCCTTTCTGTCAGCTTCAACCAGTCTGTCCCTTCTCCTCTGACCTCTGACCTCTGTCATCAACACAGAGCTGCTGCTCACTTGATGCTTTTGTTGTTGCTCCATTCTGAGTAAACACTCTCCAGGAAATCAGCAGTTTGAGAAACACTCAGACCAACAATCATGACACTGAGTAACATTTTTCCTTTTGATGTGAACATGGACTGAAGCTCCTCACCTGGATCTGCAGGACTGTACACACTGCACTGCTGCCACATTGGAGAATTACATTGATAAGCAGGTGTTTCAGTGACTGTAGATTTCCAGTACCTTTATTCTAAAGCAGTTGCCGTCTCCCTGCAGTGAACCATGGTGATGAACCCAGCATCCGTATGAAAGTGTTAGTTTTTTACGATTGCTTACACACAAAAATCAAAAATAATACACAGATTTTGAAACTCGACACACAAGGAGCAAAATGTCAGCCTAGACGTGCACAACTATACACACATTCTCTGCCTCACACTTTTTGCAAAACACCAAACACACCTCTCTACATTAGACACATCATTCAAAACTGAAAGCCTTTGTGTGTTAGCTGCTAAACACTGCCACTGAAACACCACACTCAGTTAGCAATCACCTGAACTCAGGATGCACATGTGAAGACACATGCAACCAATCAGATCACACAGAAATCACAGCTTGATCCCCATAAATACGAGTCAGGTTTGCTCTTTGGTGTGAACAACAATGGAGGACAATTTTGGAGAAAGAATTAAAGGAAGAGGTTTTCCAGTAAGAGGAGGAAGAGCAAGAGGAGAAATAGAAAGAGGAGAAGGAGAAAGAGGAAGAGGTGAAGGAGGAAGAGGAGCAAGAGGACACAGAGGACAGGGAGTGGTGAGAGGACGGGACAGGAAATAGGACAATTCTTACAGATGTCATCAGACAGACAGGATAGACAGTAACTGCAATACTGTACAGGCCTACTGTATTTTACAGTACAGTATGTTCATGTCATCTTCAGTTCACTATTGAGAATGAAGAGATTTTGTTTCCCCTTTGTGTTTGTGTTCATATTTACAGCATGCTGCAAATGTAAATGTCAAAAACATACAGTAATAGTGTTTTTATACTTAGTATATATCATGAGAAGAGGAGAAATGTGAAACTGTTTTAGATGTAGCACAGTTGTGTGCAGTTGGTGGTGGAACGCTCTATATATTTGGTGTTTGTGTGTAAAGTTTGGAAGCTAAAGTGTCACTTTTAGAAGAGTTCATTAAGTTTTTGATGTAGTGCTTGTTTTGCAAGAGATGTAAGATGTTTTGTATTTTGTGTATATGGTTTTGGTTTGTGTGTGTGGAGCTTTGACACACAGGGCCTTAGTTTCAGGAACTGTGGTTTTTGCTGTGGTGAAAAGCTGTAATATCTCTGTATGATGTGTGTGAACCAGGAGCTCCAGGACCTGGTGCGTCAGTACTCTCAGGCTGTCCCTGTGCAGAAGACCTGGCTGGAGTCCTGCTTCTCCAAACAACGAAAAGTCAACACTGCTCAGTTCATGCACCACCTCAGATAACACTATGATCCTGATCCGTAGTTTTCATCTCAGTCCCTACATGATGCTTTGGTTTAAAGCCCTAATCAACTCAGCTGTCTGCTTTAAACAGATGAATGTCATGTCATTTCAAAACAAGTTATAATGATTGATTTACAAATAAACAAAGACTTCTCTTCTTACTGCTGTGTTGGAGGTTTGTGTTGACACTTGTGTCAGGAGACAGTTTGCTTCTATAGGAACAGTAATCAGCAACAGGTCTGTCATAAATCCAGTGTGTGGAAGAGCAACACACACACGTTCACTCACACACACACACACACACGTTCACTCACACACACACTGACATATTTCATTCCCCTACCTTAAAATCAAGTGTGAACCTCATTTAAATTGGTGAGAAAACGTCAAAATGTCCCCACAACTATGGTTTCAAACCAAAATTTGTCAACACAACAATACAAAGACATCTGTCTAACACACACACACACACACACACACACTGTGGTAGAGAGAGAGCGGGGTTTCTCAGCGGGGCGGTGCTGCTCAGCCTCAAACTGTTGTACAAACTTACCTTCATTTTTCTCGGGACTCAACAAATCGACAAGTGTGAATGAGTTGAAGCAGAAGCTGGTCCAGTGTGTTTGACCCTCAGACCTCCAGGGTGCCGGCCTGTCTCTGAGCGTGTGGACGCCAGGACGCGGAGGAAGCGGAGGTTACCTGTGGGACACGTGAGGACGGTACGTTACCGTGAAGTCGTTACATGTTACATGATTATTTACTTTGACACACAGTCATGTTGTTTAACACACACACACGCGCGCGCGCGTGTACTTTAAATGTTCTTAACAAAACAGCTGGTTACAGGTCATTTAACAGAGGTTGTAAAACCTTTAACACGTTAAAAACTATCAAAACCTAAAACTTCTTGATAACTCGATAGCAGTTTACAGTTTAAACCATGTTTTATTAAAACACAGGTAATAATGTAAAAACACTAAACAATGACTGGAGGCGTGTGTCTATAGCCGTGTTAAAGTGCCTGAAGTCAGCACGATATAAAAGCAGAGGAGACATTATCTGGGTCAGCCTCAGTCACACAGTGGAAAGTGCAAACAGCAGTGAGTGTGCGCGACCACAGAGGCCTTTAATGAGTGTATTTACATTTACAGGAACTGTCGGGCTGTGTTGGAAGAAAAACCCACCTGAGCTGAGGTTAAACGGTCCGAAACTCATACGAAGTAGATTTATATGAAGACATTTGTTAACAAATTCACCATTTTATTTCCCACTGAAAACGTGTTTGGATGCAACATGTGGGAAATGTGAACACCTGGTGTTATAAATGGTGCTTTGAAAAGTAAAGTGAGCATTCAGTTTTTATTCATTATCTTTAATCAGTTATTACTCAGAAATCCAGGGACACGTTTTATCTGTGTGTTAGTGAGAGTCATCCTTTTTTTAATTTCCACACACTGAGAATTAACCACCAGGCCTGTGAGAGAAAAGTCCCCTGTGTGGGAGATACTCATGTACTAATGTTGTTCTCATGAAAATCAAATAGTCACCAGCAGCAGTGTGGGCTGTTCACCAATCTCTTAAATGTCAATAAAGCTGCATATGGGATGAAGCTGTTGTTGTCTCTGGCAGATTTTTAACCAGACACACATGGATGTCAGGAGGAGGAGGCCCAATGATGCTGCCCACGTCAAGCCTCCCAGCTTCAGCACCAAATAGGTGAGCATGACAACAAATACACAGTACACAAGCGAATGTGTTTTTACTGTGAATTTGTTTATGTAGCTTTAACCAGCCACAGCAGATGTCTCACCTTCATAAGAAATGTTGGTCGTCTCGTTGGTCCGGTCACTTACAACATGTCTTTCTTGCTCACAGTCACATCAGCCAGCTGAGCAGATACCTGAGCAGCCACCACAACACGCCTGAAGAGGACGATGAAACCATGAGCACCAAGGAACAGGACGCCATGCCAGACTCCACCCTAAACCATGATGGCCTCCGCTGTCTTCCAGAGTTCACCACCTTCGCTGATGACTCCCTGTTCAGCAGACAGACTCAGCAGGAACACAAACACAACCACACTCTCCCTCATCTGGGCCCGAGCTACTGCTCTTACCAGCCTTCTTGTGGCTTGCCGGCTGGATACGGTCAGCCAACTCCATTCCCTAGCCATGCTGAAGGGTCGTGGCTGCACCCGAGCTTTGCCAGCAGCTGGTCGGGGTATCCCAACAGCCTGTCGTCCTGTATGAGCCAGAAAGGTTACTCCAGCTGTTCTGGAGAGAGCTGCCACTCCAGGCACAAGTTCCTGTCCCTGCCCGGCAGACACAGCACCAGCATGAGCAGCCTGGAGCAGCCGCTCTCCCTGCGCTCCAACCCGCCTTCGGCCAACTCGTATCACCATACCTTGTCTCCATACTCGTGCTCACCCCAGGGAGCCGCCTGCTGTGCTCAGTGCCCTGCAGACACCTTCAACAGGGGGCCTATGGTCAACCACCCCGGGCCTCAGTACCACCCAGCGTACAGCCCTCGCTGTGAGTCTGCTGATCTGTTTATGACCCTGACACAGGCTCATACTGTATATCAGTTACAGTCATGACATGAACAGTAAACGAGTGCTTTTATTTTATTTATCATGCTAATGTATCTTAATCAGAAAGCTCATAAAGGACTTCTCTGAATTCTGTGTTTGCTGCTTCAGATCCAGGAGACTGCAGACCTCCTAGAGCTGGACACGCACACATGTGAGTCTCTGCCTCACACCAGACATACAGTATGTGAGTCCCACGGTACATGTTGCATGTTTCTTATTGTAATTCACATGATCTTTAACTCTGTGCAGTGGTCACAATGCTCCAGCTAAAGAGAAGCACCCACCTTACAGCACCATGCTGTCTCTGGAGCAGAGTAAGTGCTGATCTGCAGGTAATCACATTACTCCCCAAGCTGCTGTCCTCCTCTCTCATCACTTATGTATCTCTCCTGGCTGCAGGGAGGGTCTTTGTCACCTATGAAGCCGACAACGACAAACACGTCAATGAGATCATCAACTTTGTTGCTCTGCTGCGACACAACGGCTTCGATACACATGTATGTGCAAGTATCTTTTCTCATGTCAGTACAGGGACAGTTAATAAAGACTGTGCTGTCGTACAAAGACACAGAGCAGCGACTCCAGGAGAGAGACAATGGAGATAAAAGGTTTAGATCTTCTAGTTGACCAGATGAACGGTTACAGATGGACTGAATGTTTACAAGTCTTTTTATAGCTTTTTTAGAATTTACCACAAAAAAATCATTGATGTAGAAACTTAGACAAAGTTTGTTCTTTCAGCTGCTCTTCTGGCTTTCTTTTAAATTCACACCAACACATGAACCCTACTTGTTCTGGCTCTTCTGCTGATCTAATGTTAGAGCTTTTTAGCAGGACTAGTTTGTCTGTTTTTATGACTGGGTTTATTTATGTGGGATAACAATGAAATTGCCAAGACATTACATATACAAACTGATATATATAGAATAGTCAAGGGGTTTCAGTTGAGGGTAGCTGAGGCTAGCTTCAAGGATTTAGCTCTTGCTTGAACCTTGTAGTTGACTGGTTTGTTGTCACTGCACATTTAACATGCTGCTTCTATTGCATAAAAGGGTATGGTGTATATTATATAGTATAGAATAAATGTCAAAAAACCAAATTTTGACTAAACCCTAAACACACTATTTAACAAAACTACACTCCTGCAATATCACTAAAATGTTAAATGATTCAAAACTTCAAGTTTAGGCTATTAGATTTAATATACTGTATAATGAAAAACAAACAGGTTAGGGAAACATTGACACGTGTTGAAAATACAGTCCAACCTTAATGCAAGGTGAGTACACCTGTGATTTCCAGTCAATGCTGCAAGAACAAGGTTATAAAGGAGCCAGTGAAGCTTCTTCAGTTCTGATCTGTGTTGTGTCTAATGCATCATGGATCCACATGGTGAGGAACCGGCTGGAAGAAACCAGATTGAGAGACTTGATGAAGATGGAGAAGAAACAGGAGCATTCACAGATACTGAACATGAGCTGAGTGGTGAGGAGATACAGGAGCGGCCGTAGTACTAATAACAGAAGCAGCAGTGGCTGTCCTTGAAAAATGATGCCACACGCAAGAGATGGCATCGTGTTCACCCTAATACTCAGTGAAAAGATAAAAAATGCATGACAGGAGAGACACTTTCCCAAACACAGAAATAACTATGAGGTTTTAAAGAAGAAATAAGTGAAAACTATGACATGGCCAAGTTTGTCCCCGACTTGAATCCAGCAGAACATCCTGGTTAAAGCAGAAGTAGAACAAGAAGAAACGCTCCATCGAAGAGCAGCTGGAGGGAATCACCAGAGAAGAAGCAGAGCATCTCCACAGACTGGTGTCACCATGACTATCACAAATAAAGACTGACATAAACAATACAAAAAAGAAAGGATGTAATCTGACTGATGATGGATGCTCTGACTTTTGTTTCAGTTGGTTCTTTAATGTGGAAAATTTCATAGTGAAATTAGTCAAACATTTTTTAATTGGATTCAATTCATCTTGATTAAAATATATAAAACAGTATTCAATGGACAGGACCTGTAGTGATACTGATCAGAGTGTGCTTTGTTGTGTGCTGTAGATCTGACTGTTGGCTGAAACCTTCTGACTGATGTCTGTCTGTTTCAGATCGACATCTTTGAGCAGCAGTTCAGGAGCATAAGCAAGATCGACTTCATGGAGCGGTACCTCAGTGAGGTAAACACATTCAGATTTTTCTAAGTTCAACTGATTAAAATTCAGGAGATAAACCTGCTGTGATGTGTCAAACTGGAGGAAGTGTTACATCATCTCCAGCTCTTTCTTTCTGCAAGAGGGAACATGTTTTATGAGTTGGTTTAACTGCAGCACAAGAATGAAACCAGCTCACTGACAGGTAGATCTACTGACAAGCAGTCATGGTTATGTCGTCCCCTCACCCAGAAAGAGTACCTGATCATCATCATCATCAGTCCCAAGTACTACGAGACGGTGACGGCTTCGCCTGTTGGCCTGGAGAACGACGAGCGGACCTTCAACACTGTCTACATACACAAGCAGGTCAGAGTCCACATGGAGACTGGATTATGATGCAAAGATAGATGGATAGAATAAAGTATATATCTATCTATCTATGAGTCACTGTCCCATCAGTATCACTTTCTGATGATGATGGTTTGATTTTTTTGTTCTGTGTGTTGTTCAGCTCCAAAATGAGTTCATCCAGAACGGAAGTAAGAATTTCAGGTTCATCCCCATTTTGTTCCCCGGAGCTAAAAAGGTTAGTTTCATGCTGCATGATACCAGAGAGAGAGAGAGAGAGAGAGAGAGAGAGAGAGAGAGAGAGAGAGAGAGCATGCAAACTGTGATGTGCCTTCCCCCCGCCCCTCTTCCCCCATTTTACTCCCTCTGAATTATAATTATGTACGTAATCACAATGATGATGAACATGAGGATTTTCATCTGTGATATAACTGAAAACCTCAACAGTCTCATGATGTGCTTGTTCTGCTGTGTGTGCGTGTGTGTGTGTGTGTGTGTGTGTGCGTGTGTGTGTGACATGATCTCAGTGTCACTAAACCAACTGGCTTCAGAACACAAATGTGTACGGATGGCCTCGCGACCGGGACGACATTCTGCGGAGGCTCATGAGGGTCGAGAAGTACAATCCTCCTCCGATTGGGGAGTTGCCGACCATTGTTTCCATCCCCATATAGAGAAACTCAGACCTGGACTGAACCAACAGAGCCACCAGTCATCTTTGAGGTGAATAGAAATATGAGCAGGGTGTTTTATTTTTACTTGATTGTGACTGTGAAGCGATTGTAAATTGTTGTAATGTGTTGTTGTATTTTTCTTTAAATAACATGCAGTGCCAGTATTGGTGTGAAATTCAGGCGTACAGACTCACTGCATCACTGTGCATCACGCTGCATGTTTCAACCTGAACCTCTCCATGTTCTGATCACCACGAGTGATGTTTACTGGTTGAAGCTGATTACTTTTACAGCCTGGCAAGTTCATAAGTTTAATTTGTCCCTGCAAATGAATGCTTTCTCATATTTTATTGGGACTCACACTTGCACCTGTTATATAATTTGATATATGATGAATAGTCTGATGACTGTTTACCAGCAGGCTTTCATTTGATATGTAAACACTGACAGATATTCTCCACACTCATATCGCCCTCTCTTATTGCAGTGTATCTAATGCAAACAGCTGCTGGATGGAGTGAGTGAAAAATAGCATAAAACATCATTTACTCTGTTTTTACTGGTGCTCGGTGCATGGTGGCTGTTGTTTAAATTAGACAGATTCAGATTTGTTTACAGCGTGTTTTGTTTTGTTTTCTGTGATTTTTTTTGTACACCCAAGTTATAGGCCACACCGCAATTACACACATCTAATATTAAATTATGGTAAAAACTTTTCTTTTTTTCATAATTTGCATTAACGGGTGCTTTTTACTTGTTAACAAGGTGCTTTAATCACTTTGTCTTTACCCATTTACTACAAATCACAAGTGGCTGGTGCATCACCAGAGCAGGGAGGATTTAACCTGACAGAGTATTTAATTCAGGGTTATAGATTTTTCAGTTCACTAATGAAACCACTGAAACCAGCACGGTACAATATGCAGTGATGTGAAGAACACAGTATTTGTATTTGTAAAGAACGGTCTAAAGTAAAAACGAATGTACATTGTTACAAACACCATACAAAAGTCAATGTTATACATTTAAAATTTGAATTAAATTTTGATTCTGCACTGGAACTGTTCTCTGTGGATTTGGTTTTAAAACTAAACAGTGCGATTGTGTTTTGGTTTCCATCACAGACCTAATAATCACCTCTGGGAAACACACAAAGTGAAGCTGGCCCCAAATCTGACATTAACGCGTAGACAAGCAGAGACCTGAGTGTGGTTTGCCTGCAGGGCTAGGTGGACATTTTTTTGAAATGGCAAGCTGCATTTCTCTGTCTGTCTCACTTCAGCCTGAGATTAGAGAAGTAGAGCCACAGCAGAGCGACATGTAGTCTCTCCTCCGCGGCTGGTGGCTTATGTGGAAAAGCTCAAACAGGATGTATCAAGATAACTTGCTGACACAGCTGATTGTTGAGTGTGCGCCGGGGCTTCTCGAGAAACTGGCGAGTTCAGACTAAAAATGGGTCATCGCTCATCACAAGCTGTTTGTGGCTGCAGAAAAATCATGTGTAACGCTGCGACACGTTTCAAAGAAAATGTTTGTGTGTGCAGAAAGCACTTCATCCCAGCACAGGTTGATCAGGAAATTCACCTGCATCCGAATCATAACTGACAAACAGCGAAGCGTCGAGACGTGGTTTAATGGTTTTATCTTCACAAGAGGTAACACTGCAGATGTTCATACAGACATCATTAAAAAATCTGAATACAGTGTTTCATATATCCATCCATATATTGAAAAGTACATGAAATAATATTAATTTTAATAACATAACAAAAGGACAATAACATCAGTAATAAAAGTGGATTACAAGGATTGCAAAGTGACATTTTATGTAAATAACTCTTAAGAATTAGGAAACAGGAAACAAAAATCAGACAATAGTTCCATTTTACTGTATGTAAAAACACTGAAGTGCTATTTGTTCCAAGCTACAAAATACACTTAAAAAGCAGGAAGCGTTTTTTTTTTTTTTAAATTTCCTTCAAGGAAAAGTACTATAAAATAAGTTACAGTACAGTGAATTTGTCCAAACCGACTTTGTTCCCGTCTTCCAGCCTTTTTGTGAGCACAAACAACAGAAGTAACTCAGAGTACAGAGTTACGGTTTCCTCATGAAAGGCATCTTCATCAAAAAGGAAATGAACAGTTGTGCCGTTGTCAATAGGTGTGTGTCTGGTGTGTTCATGTTTAGAGGAATAGCCGCACAAACACTTTTGAAAATGTGAAACCTTCTAATCTTCACCATCATCTGCGTGTCACCTGCCCTCCTTGTCCTCCGTAGAAACAACTTTGTACTTCATGAATAATTCGACAAATACTTCATGTTTAGTCACATAATACAGAGGCGAGCGCTCATACGTCGTCAGCTGGTAAAGGAGGTATGTTGAACCTTGGTCTTGTGAAAAAAGCCATCTTCTCTCTGCAGACAGAAGAAAACAAAACTTATTGTCACAAACACCCATTTTATTTAGTAAAATAAAGACGTTAACAGCACTTCCACCAAATAAGGAGCTTCATGTCTCAGGTGCCGACATCAGGACCATGAATGTTTTGGTGAATATGTTTTCTTCAGACATGACGAGATTTGAACATTAAAATAAAAAAAATACATGTTCCAAGTTCTAATCCTGTGTCTCTGTGTGAACAGTTCTTGGTATGTGCAGAATATATCACAATCTCTATTCTCTCTTTCTATTAGCAAAATAGCAAACACCGGCCACCCTACACTACGGGTCTAAGTGTTAGAGCACCCCCAGTTCAAGTCCAGGGAAAAAACTTTCAATGGTACCCAGGTAAACATTAAACTGCCAAAGGTAAAAGAAAAGTTTAGTTCATATCATATAAATGTAATAGAAAACTGTTTTTTCAGGGATGAAGAAACTGGTTAAATCAGTTTTCCTGCAGCAGTGGAAATAAATGAAGTGAAATTAACATTTCCCGCAGGTTGATGACTGACAAACCCTCTGTCTGTACAAATTGTGTTACTGCACCTTCTGATGCATTATTATTATTATAATTATTATTATTATTATTATTATTATTATTAGTAGTATTAGTGTTAGAATTACTGTACTGCAGGAAGTAGGACGGTGTGCTGCTGTCAGACTGGTGAGAAACAGGCCAGTAACAAATGAAGACAGACTGGAACAGCAACATAATGAGCCACAACATTAGAAGATCAGAACCAGACGGAGGCTTCGCATGATGAAGACCAGACCAGTCTCCAGACCTGAAACCCATGGAGCTGGTCTGAGATGAACTGGACACGAGTGACACACAGTAGGAACTTATTAGTGCAGTAGAGTTGGGAGGAACCTTCTGAACAAAGTTTCCATTGTGTTCAGCTGCTGAATCAGTCAAATTTCAGATTTAAGATTCCGTGATTCCTTTTTTTAATCTTTATTATTTATTTGTTGTTTTAATATCATTAACACTGAGCCATTGAAATATGCAAATTTCAGTAACAACTGGAAAAATAGAGGCGATGTAAAACTTTTCCCTGGTAGTGAATATCATACTGGCCTAAATTTATAGCTTCATATTTTCCTCTTCTTCTGTATTTTATTTGAAGTGTTGATCCATAAGAAGATATATTTGTGGTTTTAAGAACCAAAAACCATCTCAGTGAAGTTTTACATCTTCTCTCTCAGGCTTCTCTCTGGAGCTCTAGTAACAACAGGTTGGTGAGCCAATCAGAAGAGAGGAGGCTCTAAGCCTCTGTGGACTACTGGCTACTTTCACAGTGTTAATATAGAATCTAGACCTGCTTTATAATCAAACACATGGAAATCTACCTTTATACTATATGGACCTTTAGAACTATATTTTTTTGCTGGGAGTTTATATTATTTTTGAAGATAAAACAATTATGTATTTGTGTATGAGGATACAAATGATGCAATAGACCTTTCTGGAGATAGTTTCTGACTGACAGGTGGTGGTGACGTGCCAACAGGCACAGCAAAGCTCCAGTAAAGGCAGGGCAGAAGATGAATGCTTTCAAGCAGACAGGGATGTAATTCAATACAATGCAGGTTTCAACAGTTCAACTAGGCTGAGGTCTGACCTACTACTTTCTCCTTTGTGCTTTGACACAGAGTGAAAGCGGGTGATGGGGGTGTGGGTGGAGGCAAACAGGCCTGTGAAGGATTTCACCTTGTAATTATATCAAAGCTACATATTGTGGTTTAATTGTAAATGTGTCACATTACTGAAGCTGAAGTTTGACTGTGACTTTAATCAGGTATGAACGCTGACCGGCAGTCAGCACAGTTCCAACCTGAATGTCTGCACAGGCAGGGGCTCCTTCTGACTCTGCCCCCTCATCTGCAGAACCTCTTTGGAAGCCTTCCTCATCCTCCTCTCCACCGCCTCCTCCTGACGCTGCTCCTGCTTGCTTTGGTTGGCCTGTAGAACATCAAACAGTAAGCTGCTGCTGAACAAGTCCAAAGCTCATGTGGATTGTAAAGTTCCTACAGCAGCCTGCCTCCAGTCTCACCTGTCTCTGGGCCTCTCTGAGCAGGCAGCGGAAGCGCTCGTCTCTCAGGGCCCAGTGGGGGAGCTCGGTGGCCTCCCTGGCTTGCGGCTCCTCCAGTCGCAGCTTCAGCTCCCTCAGGGCGCTCAGTTCCTCCATCAGCTGCCTCTGACGCGTCCTGCAGGCCTGGAGATCCAGCTCCAGGTCCAGGGAGGTACGGGTCGGCTGCTCGGCCAGGGAGGAGCGGTATGACTGCTGCTCACGCACAAACACAACTCAGAACCTAGACACTTAACACACTCCTACATGTATTCCTGATGAGCGACAGGCTGTACCTGCTTATATCGCAATGTTCTTCTCTCCAACGTGTTTCTGACAAAAGGTGATTTCTTTGGTAGAGTTGAGCTGTCGCTGTCGCTGCGATACAACTGAAAGGTAAAATCAGTCTTTTTATGTAGAGAAGGAATTCACACAGGGCTGTCAGTCCAGAAACATGAAGCAGAGTCGTAAATGTCAGTCAGCAGCACTG